GGAACAGCGGGCGGGTGATGTATGAGAGCAGGCATCAATTATTGGAAGTCAAACTCCCCGGGGCAACAATGAGAGGATTTACAGGCCTCGACATTTTTCATGCCCTTGAACATGTTACCTCCAGATATGTGGGTCGATAGCGAGAAGAAATACAACCTAACAGGAGGGTTTTAATGATTACAATGCACATATTTCTGCGCCCATTAAGTAAATACTGGAAGGAAACAAGTTGAAACATGTTCAACTTCTACGTCTGTGTGCAGCTTTAAAACCCAGCGGCCTTCTCTTTTGTTTAGCCTCTAATCATGTTAATGACACTTTGCTCGCCGTGCAGGCCACTCCCTCAATCAATCTCCGAGACAAAGGCCAAAATAAAAGTGACGCCGCGCAGAAGTTGTGTAGGTCTCTCTGACGGCGATGAAAGAGATGTGAGCGTCAACCTTTAAACCGTCATTCATCAGAGGAAGACAACAAAGGGTCGTTATCCTCGCCGTCAGCCGACGCTGGAGTCTGTGTGTGAACATAAACATGCACATAAAACAAACCTGCACACCTGAATTATTCAACGGGGAAGAAACGAGGCGTGCACATCAGGGCCGCGGGTTGACTGAACATACATCATGAGCAGGGACATAAAAACATCAGCAACATGTTTTTATGTCAAAGTATTTTACTCCCAACGACTGGAACTGTTGTAGCCGAAAATAAGGGAGAAAAGTAGTGAGACAGTCGCCTCCACTCGTCTGTATTGAGTCACACTCATATACAAATAATAATAAACAAATGTACATATTTCAATTATCGGCTTCTGCAATAACACGCTCAGTTTCAGGACCACAGATGCCGTTTTACTAAAATGACATACTCCAAACACATTCCATTTATTGTTAACCTACTAAGTTATTAAAGGCAGAGTTGGCAATTTTCTCAAGATACACTTTTTTAAGGTTTTGGTTGAAATTGTCTTTAGGTCCAGAAATCTGGACATTGGTCTGGTAGCTGGAGAGGTACCAGATCACTTCCTGAGCAAACAAAGTAATACATACAGCAACAAACAACAACAACAACAAAACAACAAACAACAAACAACAAAACAAAACACACAGAAAACAAAACAAAACAAGGGACAACACAGAGAACAGATACAACAATAAGCTCCAACTCTAGACTAGACACCTTCGAGGAGAGAGATTCAGTCTGTACATAGAGAGATAGTTCTTCATGGATTGTCTGGTAACCGTCTTGTTTTTGCAAAAAATGACCGAGGTCCAGAGCCTCGTGACCTCATAGCTGGTTACGGCCATGAATGGAGCGGGAACCACATCACACCCGAGTCGACAGCGTTCCAGTAACGAGTTGTCAAACAAGCTTCATGGACGCTTCCAGGACGACCTTTATTTTGTTAGCTTATAACGAGGGATATGTCCAAGCGGGCGGCCCGGGTTCCAACCCGACTTGAGGCTCCTTTTCCTGCCTGTCATTCCCCACACTCTTTCTCCTTGATTTCTGATTTTATCCACCGTCCTGTCTCTAAAATAAAGGCGGAAAAAGACCCCCCAAAAAAACGCTTATAGCTTTCATGGTGTCAGACTTTTTATTGTATTGTAGGAGACTTCACTGAGCTTTACATTTCCAGGTGACACTATTCAGAGACCTTTCTTTGCATCCTTAGCAGCGAGTTTAAAAACCTGCACAAAGACTCAAATCGCCCTTTAAATGTTACAATAAATGATCTCATTATCGTGCATTTGTACAGAGGCGTGAAAGAGCGAGGGCGTTTATAATCCTCTATAGGTCTCCTTCTTTCTGTAGGTGTTTCAACAGCAGCAGATTATCACAGATTAGTCCTTCAAGCGGAGACAAAAGAACGCTCTCTCTCACTCATTTCTTAGCAATCGACGCTCCGCCACCAGGAATGACAGTGTGGACAATAGGCGAGGCGTTTAATTTATCTTCTCTATATGACCCGGATGCAAATGAGGAAAATGAAAGCAAGCAATTAATTCCCTAATTGGGTTTGCACTATTTCAACTTGTTAAGGGGGGGAAGGAGGGGGGGAAGGGGTCTCTCGATTAAAGAGAAGGTCAATTTCTCATTGTGACAATTACTGTATTCATTTTCACAGAGCAAACAAAGAGAACGAGCGCCGGGTCGGGATGAGGCTGCACTGGACCAGATGCTTCCTCTTTGTGTGAGTCCACCGTTAACAGTATCTTGTTGATCTTTATAAATCTGCATATTAGAGTCACAGTGGTTAAATAGCGTGTTGGTTGTGAAAAAAAGGCGGTTAACCTACCATTGTCAGTTGACGTGGATACTTCTTTAAAGGTCACATATTATTTAAAATCCACTTCCCCATGTTCCTCTATCTCTAACATGTGTCTCTAGTCCGTTTACAAACCCCACAATGATGAGAAAAGTCCATCCTCTCCGTCTTCTGCCTGCTCCACTTTTCAGAAAATGTGTGCTCAAACAGGCCGTTTGGAGATGTGACATCACAAAGGGCAGTAGCCCTTCCCCCAGGTGGGTGACACTCCCACAGCTAGGTGTTTGTTCTGCCCTCTGAGTCTGCCTTCTCACCGTAAACAATAGGACATGGAGCGAGAAAGCACCGAGTACACCCAAGCCCTTCCAGAGAGGGGGTGTGGTCAGACACAGCTCATTTACATATTTAAAGGTACAGACACAGAAACAGCCTGTTCTGAGCAGGGCTGAAATAGAGGGGTTTACAGACATGATCAAATACAGGATCAGAGTGGATTTAGAACAAGAAACTTCACACACATGTTTTGAGGAGCTCTGAGACTTATTTAAACTGAAGAGGAGGAGGAGGATATGTCACCTTTAAGATACACCACTAACAATAGTTGATGTTAGTATTTCTAAAGTCTGAGAGGGGGACAGAAACAATCTTCACAAACTGAAACGTCTTTCGTTAAATAAACAAAAACTGAAGGAAGCTGAATGCGACAATGTTCCCGCAGAGCAAAATAAAGAAGTTAACTTTGTTGTTTTGCCCCAAATTACAAACACTGATATGTTAAAAGTGTCATCTCTTAAAGGAGGACAAACAAACAGCAGCGGGCGTGCAGGGAGGGGTTACAGAGTTCAAGCAGAAGTCTGTAAAGCGAGCGGCTTCAGGATGTATTTTGGCTCCCTGAGAGGCAAAATCACGCTGTTGATACACGCAGCGTGAGTCAGCTACTCCCTCATGTCACACCGACATTTCTTTATTTACCAAAAAGAGAGAAGCCACAGAATTAGAACATACATCAAAAATCAAAGAGAGAGCAGTGTGTCATGTCTCCTCGTTCACTCCTGTGTTTCCTTCTTCCTTTTTCCTCGTAGTGGGAGGGAGAGAAATGCGTTAAAAGCTCCACAAACGATGCAGCCTTTTAGCATGTTGCACTTAATCTCCCAGCTGTTTGCTTTGGTTAAGTAAGGGATCGGCAGGATGTGGATTTTTGTTTGTTTGGGAACTTTGACCTCTTATCTCCGTTTAAAGAGGTTTCTTCTGCAGTGAGATATTTTTCACCCGAGCTGCTTTTGGGTTCAGGTGGAGTTCATGTTATTAGTGTTACAGGCCTTTCATGCTCTCAAATCTCACAGGGATCAAAAAGGACTTTGTGAGGTATGCCACCATCAGCCAATTAATGCCCCCCCCCTCGAGTCCAGCTGCTCCGTCTGCAAGGTCGACACTAAGCACCTCTCACGGCTAAATACCTCAACTTCTCTTCCCCCTCCTTGTTTTTAAAATCGAATTATTCAGCTCTTTGGAGAGGGTTTTTGTAACTCACACCACAAACATTGCGTAACACGAGGGGAGTCGCAGGAGGAGTGACCTTGGTCTGTGCTCGAGTCAAACCTGCTGGGCGCCTGCGAAGGAGGGGATTCACACAAATCCCACCCGCATCGACGGCAAGGAGACACAGTCGGGGAGTTTTGAGGAGAGGTATTTTAGGCTTAAAAGAAGAACCCCGCCTTAGATCAAATCTCTGTTAGTCGTCGAGCGTTTTTACCCATCGTTCCCAGTTAAACTCAGGCTGCTTCTTTCTTTCTCATGGACGCAGCAGCGGCCTGAAGCTGCTGAGGGGACTGATCTCACAGTGGGACAGCAGAAAAACAAGATATCTGCATCCTCAAGCTGCAGCGTCCTCTCACCTCATATCTGTGTCCCAAATCACACAAAGTTACAGTTTAGACTATTTTACTTTATGATGATGAGAATGAAAGTCTGACAGCATGGGAGTCTGTGTGTCAGTTAAAGCCAGGCTCAGTCAGTAGAGTCATCGTCCCTCATCCGGAAGGTCAGGGGTTCGATCCCCAGCTCCTGCAGCAACATGTACCCCTGGAATATTTTACAACAGGACCTGAATTTGAGCACTTTTATCCCTTATAGACACTTTAAAAAATATTATTTTAAACCGCCCAATACCTGACTGTAACTATTTTGTTTGATTTTAATTACTGACTTATCACTGTAGTCATTTCAAGCTTTTAAATTATTTTAGTGTATATATTTTAATGTTCTTATTGCTCTTTTATTGATTTTATTTTCTGTAGTAGCTTTATCTCATTTCTCGTTGTTTATCATTTATGTATGTTTTCTCTGCATCATTGTAAATGAGGGACGCCCTCAATGATCTCTCTGAGAACTTAAATAAAGGTTGATGATGATGTCCGATGTGTCCTTGGGCAAGATACTTAACCCCAAGTTGCTCCCTCTGCTTCGTCAGCTGTGTATGAATGGATGAGATAAACATCTGACACATTGTGAGAAAATCTCTTTGATTTATTCTGCTGCAGAAACGTAAACAAAAGGCGTTTAAGCAGCGTGTTGTAAATCCTCTCATCGAACACTTAGGCTGCTGCAGCATTTACTGATGTTAAAATCTTTCCACTGATGGTCTTGTTTTGCTTTTCCATCTCAGTATGATTTTCAGTATGTTTCATAATCTTCTATAAACTCCTCCATAGGAGTTTTAAATGAAAGACAAGAGTCAAGGAAACAGATTTTTACTTGCAGAGAACAGAAATGATGAACAGCAGTAAGAAGCTTTGAAACCTTCAGGATCAGGAATAACATGTTTTCATAACGCTCGATAAAATACTTTCCCCAGATTGTCTTTTTAAACGGTGATGTGAGCAGACAGTTGTCCACTTCAACACGTGTGTATCACCAGTTTTTGTTTTGTCATACTTCAGTGAGAAAACACTGCAAAAGGAGGGACGTTCTGTAGAACCACTCGTCAAAACCGTTCAGTACAACACCAAGTCTTTGGCTTCTTTATATTAATGTTGACAGTCCAACATGAAGCTTTAAAGTTGAGGCTTTAGTTCCTCCTGGGGAAACAGCCACAGTAACTAAAAGGCACTTTTTCTTAAGGAATTAGTGTCAGACGCCCTCACATGATCAAACATGGCACGTTAAAGAGGCTCGGTCAAGTCGCTGCTTCTTTAAATAAAAGCAAAGAAAACAGAACAATTTGCAGCCCCCATAGTTTGATTGATAAAAAGGTAACACCACCATCTAGTGGTGGCTTAAAAAACAGGAAGTGTTGCTTTTTTCAAAAACAATCCGACTCAGTAGATACAGATCCTTAAACACAATCTTTGAACAGTTAAGAGAATTTAAAACAATCCCTGAAAAGTGACGCTCCTAAGGAACGCCTAAAGCCTAGTGTTTATTATTTATGACCTTAATACACTTTTATTATTATAGTTTGATTGGCACTTTGTATTTGTCCCAACAGTAATGGGGCCTTCAATCAAACATGCAACTAAACATGACAAATCCAAACACAATTGAGATTTTTCTGCAGCCAAAATAGGAAACATGAAAGTGCAAAAAGCAGACGAGTTCACCGCCACCGCCTCGTCAAATGTTGAAGCAAGCGCTGCATGTTTGTGGTTTGTGTTTCCCTACATGTGAAAATTTCCCAGTCTGTTGGTGAACTTGGCCTGGTCGATGTTCTTGTTCTCCAGGACGTGTCTGAAGGTGCAGTCCTGCCTCGTGCAGCCCGACGTCCTCCAGAAGAAGCACTCCTTCTTGTACGAGCTGTTACAAAAGTGAGCAGAGTTTTAATTTTAATTTTATTTTTTTCTCAGAATACATGTCAACACGGCCGTTTTGGACGCCCCTCTGTTTGTCAGATATGAGAGCAGTTATCAGGTCAACAGGTGTTGCAGTGATGGAAGCGGGCAAGAGAAGTGGTTCAGATAGAAGTGATTGTACCCGACCTAAAAAGCCTCTGCATGTTTCTAATAAGCTCCACGAGCAGAAACGTGCTCAAACTAGGATCAATATTGGAGATGCTTTTGAAAAATGGAGAGAGGTTAGAACACAGAAAGGTTTACAGACCCATGCAGAGCTGGATAAACACTGAAGCTTCAGAGTCCACCACATGGTGACCTGAGTGAGCATCCACTCTAGAGAGGAGGGGGACTGCACTCTACAATGTTTAGAATTTGGACTGAAGTACCCATTTTAACCACTAGGGGTCAGAGTTACATACTGCTCTTTTACAGCTGCAGAGTTTTAAAGAAATAAACACTGGACAACAATCGCTGGTTTTCTTGTAAATCATTCAACATTTGAAAAAAGCTAAAATAAGAATAACATGATAAAGTTCTTACCTGGGTCCGGTGTTAAATTTACCCGGATGTCGCACAGAGAGTGGAGCCCCCTCTACAACCATTCCCTGAAGAAGAAACAGGATGTTACACCTCGGACAAAAATGTTTCAATTAACATCAAACCGGTTGAACAGTTTCAACAAAGTTAGCTAAATGTCCTGTATGTAAATAAGGGCTGTCAAAGGATTCAAATGTTTAACAGCAGTTAATTGAGAGTTAATTGTGGTTAATTAGCTTTTAAGAATTTAAAAATAAAAACTGTTGGTACAACATTTCAAAATAAAAGCGAGTTTTAAGCTGAGAGTACTTGCTGTTTGAATTAAACCATGCTTTTAATTTGAAATAAAGTAAGGCCCTTCCTGTAGATGGAAGGTTAGGACATAGGAAACAGGAAGTGGTCACAAACTGTCGTCAAACCGCTTAAAGGAACAGTAACAAAAGTCAATGTTACGACATAATAACACGTCATTAATAAGGATTAACTAGTTAACGCAGGACAGCCCGTACTGTAAGTATAACTGAATGTAACAGATACGTACGTTGATACAGAGGACTGCTCTCTCACAGTCTTCTCTGCGGGTGTAGTTGATGAAGGCGCACTGTTGCTCCAGCAGCATCTTGATGCTCTGCACCGTCCCCGCTCTGAGAGACGGCGGGAAGAAAAGAGCGAGAACACGTGAGCTGGAAACTCGTGCAGGATGGTCGCCCTGATTCGAGGTTATCGATCTTATATTTAAAGAATCAAGCACCAGAGGAGGTTTGTGACCCTGTAGAAACCAGCTCTCTCAGAACGCTCCGTTTTGGTGTGTGTGTCTCTTTAAATGCAATGACCCCCACCCCGAGTTTTCCCCGTAGAAATCACTCCTCTGTAGAGAGAATAAGAATGGCCAACCTGTGCTAAAGTAAGGCCCTTCCTGTAGATGGAAGGTTAGGACATAGGAAACAGGAAGTGGTCACAAACTGTCGTCAAACCGCTTAAAGGAACAGTAACAAAGGTCAATGTTACGACATAATAACACGTCATTAATAATATTTTGTTCTAGTCTGGAGGTGGAGTCCATGGGTGGAGATACCAGGGGAGGGGAGGGGATTATTTTTTTTACAAGAATCCCACTGTGACATCACAAGGAGAGCACATTTGAAACAGAGCATTGTTCTCTGTTGTAAGACTTATGCAGACCACAAACAAAGGACTGGATGGTTTACTTCACATGTTGTGGGTCAGTAGACTCTCAGGTTACCCACATACATGTTCAGAAACACTAAAAGCGGATTTTTCAGAATATGTCCCCTTTAAATGTAAAATTCAGTCCATAAGAAGAACTTTTGATAATTTGTTTTCCTCTAAAAAGTCGGCTTCTTCTACTTGTGTGACCAACAGACAGAGCTTTTTACCCAGAATATTTCATATACATTTTAAGAATTTTATAATTTGTAGTGCTCTACCTGCTGAAGAGCTCGTGCAGCGTTGCGTAGGTGACATCTGGAGCCAAGGATCCAACCCAAACGGAGAAAACAGTCCTTTGGAGAAAAGAGGAAGTGATGAAACCACTCCACGTTGAGGTTGAACGATGAAATGATCAGTGGTCGACTTACGGTTTCACCGGACTCTTCAGACCGGGTGTGGGAGACTGAGATTTGGATCTGACCGGTCCTGCCGCCTCGGACTCTTTAACCTGCTGCGCTCTGGGACGACTCGTCGGCAGGACGACCCACTCGTCTTCTTTTTCTTCTTCTTCTTCTTCATGCCATACGGGCTTGTTTGTAATTTCCCTGCAGGCGCCGGCATCTAAAGAGAACGAGCAGACGGTAAGAGAGAGCGTATCGACCAGCAGGACGTCACAGAGGCGTCTGTTGTGGTTATTTCACCTCCAGGACTTTGAGCGTTATCTCCACAGAACAGAGCTTCCACGGCTGCCTCTAACGTGGCGTGTGATTTCAGGGCCTCAGAGCTCTGCGCCCAGGTGAATCCCATTTCCTGGGAGAGAAGTTGGAAAGAAAGAGATTCTTCATTTGACTCGAGCTTGCCTTTACACTGCACATAAAATTCAAACTAGAAAATAAATACAGAGTGAAATTTAATCAGGGCAGAGAGAACATGTCACACCGCTGTCACGCCTGTGCCTTCGTTGTTGACAAAACTGATTTCAGAAGTCACGCCCCTTCTTGATTTTGATTGGGGGAGTGGGTGTGGGAGAAGTTAAGCTTACTGAGGGCGCTAAAAGTTGATCTTCTTTCAACTCAGAGCTCAGCGACAAACAACAGCCGACGCATGAGGGCGAGGTCCTTGACCTCCAGTTTTAACCAGCACTGCTCAGACAGGCTCCAGATGTTTACAGTGGTTTTTTTAAGCATTTCCATTGAAGCTTTGTTGATGGTTTTTTGTCTCTTACCATGAGGTGCAGCGTCTGCGCTCGTTTCAGCTCTAGCCTGGCTTCAGTGCTCGCACTCTCCAACTTCAAAACCTCCTTATAGATCAACGAGGCCTCGTAGTATTTCTGGAGAATCGAGGAGAGGAATCACAGGAGACACATTTAAATGTTAATGTTCTGCTTGTATTACAATAACACCCTCTTGCCTGGATGCTTTGAGATGTACTGCAGGTGTTTCTACAGTTTTTTTTGTTACTCTTTTCTCTAAATTCTAACCACACAAAGACATACTTCATATAAAAACACTTAAAGGGTTAATTAGACAACCGGAGCAGCGATTCACCTTGAGTCCACAGAGAGCTTTCCCTTTCCTAAATAAACCTTTAATCCAGTTTGGCTCCATGCAAAGTGCTAAGTCAGCATCCCTGAGAGCGTTTTCATACTGCTCCATTCTCTCATAACAGAACGACCGATTTCCAAATAACCTGAAGCACACAGAACAAACACAGCGGTCAGAGCACGTCTCATTGGTCACCGCTGCACGGCGCTTTAATGAAGCCTGAAGTCAATGTTCTTACCTAAACTCCTTTGGGTTGTATTTAATGGCGTCTGTAAAGTATTTCACGGCCAACTCGTACTGTCCTAGTGCAGCCAAGCGATTTCCATTACCTGGAACAAAAAGAGCACGGACGGTCAGTGCCTCGTCGTGTTCGCTCAGTCCAAGTTTGAATGGATAAAAAATAAAACTCACCGGCGAGCTCTCGGCTTCTACTTGCAAACTGTTCTGCAGTGGGATCCGTCGTTTCCTGTTAAAAGTGCAGGAAGAAAATGAGTCTGAGCACTGCAGGAAATTTTCTGTCGAGCGTTAAAGGGTTAATTTATCTGCATATGGACACTTTCATTCAAAGTGGTGAAATCAAAATGTAGGGGGGGAATCATGCTTCAGCAGAGTAACTTTGCCTCATGTGAGTGCGCCCTGAACTGTCTAAATTTTGCAGATTTTTTTTAAATTCAAGCAGTTACATTTTATTATCCATTAAAAAAAACAGCTGATGAAGAAACGACTCAGAGATTAAAAAGTCTTCACCTTCTTCAGCATGATTACGTCCGATAAATAAAATAATAAACCTCTGAGTGTGTTCTGTCCCCACCTCTTTAACGGGTTCATGTTTCTTGTCTATCTCTTGAACTTCTGGTTGCTCCTCAACTTTTGGCTTTTCCTCTGACGGCTGTTGAACTTTCAATTCTTCATTTTTTTCCTCTGTCTTCTCTTCCTCTGCAGGCCTCTCGTCAGACGTCTCCTCTGGCGCCGTTTCATCCGCACCAGAGTTTTTAATTTCCAAATCCTGCTGAGGATGAAGAAACACACAAATAAGAAAACTATCCAAAGATTCTTTTTATCTAACAACACGTTAAAGCATTCCTGAAAACCTTTTTAATAAGATTACAACAATGTTTGAAACTGAAACGTCTTGACCAACCGTTAGTTCCATTTCTTTTTCATTATTAATTTTCAAAAGATTTTCTTCTTTATCTCCATCTTCTCTCTGCTCACATGCGGCAGCCTCAGGTTCATGTGGTGATTTTCCACGTTCACAAGATTCATTTGCCATTAATTTAGTTTCAATTTTAGGACTTTCTTCTTGATTTTCTGAGGAGTCTGATGTCCTTTGTTCTTCCTCCTGAAATGGAAGAAGAAAAACACATCACGGTTCACATCACGGCTTTGGAAAGTTTTACTTCCATACTATGAAGTTTAACCACATGAAAATAAAGAAGGACTTACAGGTATAACGCTTTTCACTGCATTCTCCTTCTCTAATCGTTTCTTTTCTTTTTTACGCTGAAAACAAAAAAGGACAAAGTGTCAGGAGCAAAGAAGCAGACTTTTGTACATTTGAGGAGCCAATCTCAGCCGTCATTTGGGGAGAGGGGCGGAGACTGTTTACCAGCCAGTCACAGGGATGACATATAGAGACAGACAACCAGACACACTCACATTCACACCTACGGGGGATTTACCAGTTAGTCACCAGTTAACCTAACGAGCATGTCTTTGGACTGTGGGAATATGTCTGCATATTTCTCCCGTATCATGCAGGCCTAATTGGGGGTCTATTTACTCTGGATAGTAAGAATGTGTACACACACCTGGAAATCAAACAGCATAAATGTGTAGAAGACAAGACGAAGGGATCAACATGGCGAAGTTCATGCATGGAAGAAAATCAGTTGGCAGCTGGTTTGGTTTGTGACGTTGAAAAGGTCGACTGGATGAAGGTCTGACTCGACTTCACTGGTCATGTGAACGTCCAGGCTGACTCACATGTCTAACATTAGTTCCATTATGAGGAGAGCCCCGCCCTGAGGTGAGTCACACCTTGAATCTCACGCAAACTCGAGTGACCTTGATCTCTCTCCTTTGTCGTTACAAAAAAAATGTGAACCATCTGATCCAACGAGGCCTCAAGTTTAACATACCTCGTGTGTAATGACCCGTTTTCATGATGACTTTTTGGGCTGCTCGCACTGCGGCATTTTTGTTTAGAAACCAAACACTAAACATGCAGAGTCGTTCACTCCATTAGAGCTTTAACACTCCTGATAACTTGTCATTGATTATTGAAACGATTATGCTGCGTTCCAGTTGATCTCAGAAGTGGGAAATTCCCAGTCAGAAGTGTCAACTGGAACGCCCCCTGAAGTTGTAATTACGACTGGGAAACTTGGAGAAAAAAAAGTAGCCTGAGTTCAGATCCAATATGGCTGCTACATGCATCGAAAGGGATGTTTAAGATGCAAATTGTTGAGTTTATTGGCAGCTCAGTCGTCTTTTTGTGTAATTAAATCAATCAGACCGACGGTATCGTGCAAGTTCTCTCTGTGGAGGTGTTGTCATGTTATTTTCAGTCAGAAACGATTAGTGTGTTGTTATCGTCTGGTATTAGCTAACAAAACAAAGTTACTCCCGGAGGCATCCATGTTGCTTTTCCGACTTGAAATTGGAACGCAGTTTACTCGGGTGTGACGTCATTCCCAGTTCCCACTTCTGAGGTAAATGGAACGCGGCATTAATCAACTGATTGGATAAAGTTCTGCACAGTTATGTAAAATCCAGAATATAAGACGCAGTCTGAATGTGGAGGTCTCCCAGAGAGAGAAAAGATTTCAACTGTCCACCTGCGTGACGATTTCTATCGTGTTCCTTAAAGTCCACTACGCTCAGTTTGTGTGCAGCTGTGTCGCTCTTTTAGAACCAGCCGTTTGCTCTCCTTCTAGCTACAGTACGGGAGTCGAGCTCTCAGCCTGCTACATGAAGTGCTGCTGGTTGATCGAGAGAACCAGTTCCCCTTCTGTGTGTGTTCACATCAGCACATACATGCCCAATACAACAATCCTTTGAAATGCCTCTTTTTTAAAAGGTGGGTGAGTAGAGAAAGAAAGATGTGGTTTAATTCTGTTCTGAAGGCAGGACGCGTTACGTCCTGGAAATAATGCAGACACTGACCATTTTTTTGCGCTTGTTCCTCTCAGTTCGCTCCTTAATCCGCTCCTCTTCTTCTATCAATTCTTTTGCATGTTTATCAGCTTCCTGTGAATAAATCACAAACCTGTGAACTCAGGGTTTATACATCTCCAATTTCAGCCAACGCCAAAGAAGTTCAGAGAATACATTTCAAAACACAAAACAAGTCTGACATGTTTCCATTTTGAAGGTAAATATGATTCACTTCTCATATCATCCAGTGCACGAGTCCCTGACGCTCTTATATCACATTATAAACCACCACCAAGAATAAAAGTGGGCGGAGTCTTTGAGTTTCCTTTCCACAAAAGTAAAACTGAATTGTACTACCTCCTCCGTGAGTTGTCTTATTCTCGGATGTGGTTGTAACGTCCTGCTGGGGGAATATTGTGGACTCAGGCGATCATAATAGTCGTCGTCGTCGTCAGAATATATGACATCATCGTCAAAGTCTCCGCCAAAGTTCCTTAAAAAATCTAAACCTAGGAGATACAAAGAAAAACACACAAAAGAAGACTTCGTTCATTTTCTAATGTTGCTAAGATTTCAAGGGCATCAGCGGAAAAATGAGTTCCCAACCCGGGGTCACACTGGTTCCCAACCCGGGGTCACACTGGTTCCCAACCCGGGGTCACACTGGTTCCCAACCCGGGGTCACACTGGTTCCCAACCCGGGGTCACACTGGTTCCCAACCCGGGGTCACACTGGTTCCCAACCCGGGGTCACATTGGTTCCTAACCTGGGGTCACATTGGTTCCTAACCTGGGGTCACATTAGTTCCTAACCTGGGGTCACATTGGTTCCCAACCCGGGGTCACACTGGTTCCTAACCTGGGGTCACATTGGTTCCCAACCCGGGGTCACACTGGTTCCTAACCTGGGGTCACATTGGTTCCTAACCTGGGGTCACATTGGTTCCTAACCTGGGGTCACATTGGTTCCCAACCTGGGGTCACATTAGTTCCCAACCCGGGGTCACATTGGTTCCTAACCCGGGGTCACATTGGTTCCTAACCCGGGGTCACATTAGTTCCCAACCCGGGGTCACATTGGTTCCTAACCCGGGGTCACATTAGTTCCCAACCCGGGGTCACACTGGTTCCTAACCTGGGGTCACATTGGTTCCTAACCTGGGGTCACACTGGTTCCCAACCTGGGGTCACACTGGTTCCTAACCTGGGGTCACACTGGTTCCTAACCTGGGGTCACATTGGTTCCTAACCTGGGGTCACACTGGTTCCTAACCTGGGGTCACACTGGTTCCTAACCTGGGGTCACACTGGTTCCTAACCTGGGGTCACACTGGTTCCCAACCCGGGGTCACACTGGTTCCCAACCCGGGGTCACATTGGTTCCCAACCCGGGGTCACACTGGTTCCCAACCCGGGGTCACACTGGTTCCCAACCCGGGGTCACATTGGTTTTCCCTCCCAACACCTTTGCTTTGTAGAGAACAACCATTTATTCCAAACGCCATTCAATACAAATAACAGGTTAGTTCTTCCTCCCCCTCTTAACTCGGGTTAATGTGGTGTCAAAGTTTAACAGCTCAATAAAAAACAACACGCAGCAATAAGAGGTCAATTAAAGTGGAAGAAACCTGCCGTCTGCTGCATTACACACCCTGCATGACTCCTGTCCTGCTCTTAATCTCTGACAGTAAAACATCATAGGACTAACTTTTTATAGCTCTAAACTAACTTTGAGGCAGAGGAGAAAAGGGTGATATATTTTCTAGAGCTCGTCTGCTGCACAGCTGTAAGTGTGGAAGCCTTGAGCTTGAATAGAGAACTCCAGATTGTGTTGATGCATCCTGACCTCCTTTGTACAACAAGACAATCTGGTAGTGCTTTCACACCTGCACAAAACTCCAGAAAACATCCTGAAATTTTCAGGGTGAGCTTCACGTGTGAACACAAACGGCCCCTTTTCTTGCTCTGACTTTATCTTGAATGTTTCTTTCCAAACCCCTGAGTACATTTTTCAGATTGAAGACGGGATTATCTGTTGTGGGAAAACAGCAGGAAATATTCAGGAAATTCACTGCTAGCTAGTAGGAGGTGGTGATGAGGTTGATATCCTGAGACCCCCACAGGACCGTGGACTGTATGCGCCTGTCTTGTGCAATCTGTGTGATCGTAATGATCCCCATCGACAGAGATAGCAGTGAGGGAAATGTGTGAACAACCATCACAGGAAGATTCAAGGGCAGTCTGAAATTTAAGACATTTTCAGACATGCATGTGCGACAACTGTTAAGATCTGTCAACTTTCTAATCTAGGCAACCTGCTGGGGGTTGATGGGCAAAATGCAACACTGGGAAAACATGAGCATGTATAGGATGAAAGTAGAACTAATCAAGAAGGAGGCTAAATGTGTGTTACCACCTGTCAACCAGGTGTAGAAACGCAGTAAGGATTGTTTCACTGCTTTGAATCCAACAATACTGGGTGTTGTGTAATCTCCAGTTTCTTTAAAAATAACCGTCGACAGATCAGAACGTTTCTTACCGAAGCCATTAGCGAAGACATCTAGGATGGAGCCCGTAGGATGACGTCCACTAATGAAATCAACCACAGTTTCCTGAGAAGAAGAGAACAAGGTGACTTAATATACATCCGTCAAAGTTTTCTGGCCATTGTCACCCTAATGCTTGTTGACTATGCTAACGTCTTACCTGGAGCCCAACCCTTCACTAGATTACCCCGACATTGAATTAATAATGAATGTGTTGCACAGAGACAAAGATGCAAACAAGATCCTCAATCCAGCGATTTACTGACAAGTGACGCATCGAGCCAACGTGCTCTTTCTCGAAATGTCTGAGTCAATAAATCCTTTAAATGGGAGTTCCTTTGAGTGCAGGTCTTGTTTGCTCCTTCATACCTTTTTTATTTTTTGATCCAGCACCCACTTGAGGATGTGCCGGTCTTTCATGAACAGAGACAAGACATCTATTATGCTTTGCCATTGGCTCGATGATTACTCCTCTTCCTCTTCCCTGTTAATGTTTTCTCCCCTAAAAGAGAATTTATCTGAAATTTACTTAAGTTGACTTTCATTGACAAACTTTGGTTTTCACAGCAGTAATGCACGCAACGCTGAGCAAGGCAACGAGATTGAGTGCGGTCGGATGTGGCCCCTTTAGGGAGGTTTCCTTCTGTCATTGCAAAATTTGCACATTTTAAGCGACTGCTGTGAATAAAAGTTTGTGAGCCATCAGGGCCCCACTTTTAGTCTGGGGGCCCCAAGCAGTCGCCTGTTGACAAGCATTGCCTCTGTATGCATGTGTGTGTGTGTGTGTGTGTGTGTGTGTGTGTCTCATTCTGCAGAGTGTAAAAGTGACTTCCTCTTTGGGATTAATAAAACACATCTTCTTCTTCTTCTTCTAGGATATTTATAACGTATTTCCTGCCTGTCGTTAACATAACTATTTCATGACAATAATCCAACTTCATATCTTATAAGTGACCTTGAAATGTTGTCATGTTTCCAGAAACACATTCTAAACTGGAGAGACCTGTTAGACCACAATAACGACAACACGAGTCCCCGGAGCCTGCATCATACTCACGTGTGTGCGCATTAGTCTCGAGTTTTCTCGGATCCTGTTGACAGGAGGAGGAGTCCCACCTGTGAGGTAGTCAAAGGTAAAAGTCCAAACACGAAATGTTAGCTTATAAGGCACTAGCCACTTCTCAGTAAATGAAACTCAGCGACGAAGAAACTGTCAAGTGGCCTACAATAACAATCCCACCTCTCAAAACGGCTCTCCTTCTTGACATGGTGTTAACTTATCTCTCAGTCGTGCTTCCCGCGGTTGATTCGACGTTAAATATTTCTATCTTGATGTCCGGGGTAAGTTTTTCTGCACTCTTTCATGTGTGCTTATCTCTTTCCGCGTTTGAAACTGAAGTAGGAGTGTTTATGTGCCACGTTTTTAATGCATCGGCCTTTCTCCCGCCTCCCAGCCGCTCCACCAATCATGTGACGCGGTTGCCTTGTTTTGTTGGGGTGTGGAACTCCGATTGGATGTGGCGCCTGCCAATCGTGATAAAGTAGGCGGGATTAGACCGCAGCGTTCAGTCCAAAGGTGGCAAACCGGAAGGTTCATGAGTCATTTGGTAAAAGTTGGTGTGTTGATATTTTTACAGTCAAAGATGATGTTATGTAATCATATTTTCATCATATTTAATTTTTATATTAAGTTTAAGTTTTTACAAATTTAGTAGACTTTAAAAATGACTTGAAAATCTAATATCCATCTTTGTAAAAAAAAGTGTCTGAATTTCTTGAGTTTTACATCGATTAAAACCCCCCAGTTATATCTTATTTTATTTGTATTTATTTAAATGTATTTATATAAATTTGTATTGTGGTTTTTTGCTCAGTTTGGATGTTATATTTTATTTGTTTTGGTTTTTATATTTTTATTTTGTCATCTAAACATGCTGCCTGGAGTCCATGAGGTATTGGTATTACAGGTATTACACCAATACATGAGATGTTGGTGTAAATTAGACATTTCCCTAATGCTGATGTGGTTGCACTAGCCCGAGTTTGCATATACAGACTGTGTATGCACAAACTATTTCTCTGGGGTTAGATCATATGCTGTAAATAATAATAACAATAATCTGGGTTAGACACATAGATGTATGGATGTACAAATGGTCTGTGGTAGGAAGTACCACTCTGCTTTATTTTTGAGACACTGTGGGGAAACCATAGACTGTATAAAGATTATTATTAACAGGAAAAAGGGAACTTCATGTGTTTCTTCATAGTAACTGCCAACATCGAGCACAGTATTCACAACATAAAACAATATATGACACCAGGTGACACTAACAGTGACTACGCGTTTTTATTTTTTGTAGTTCTACAATGTACGGAAAGTGATTACTCTGTCTAATAGACGATCTTTCCTGTTCAACGGTTCAAATCAAACACTCCTCATTTCCTAGCAACGGTCCTTAGATACGAGCTGGAGGAAGCGCGCTCGCTGTGGCGGACTGACAACAACACAACAACATGGAGCCTCTTCGGGTAATTTATACAACTTTAACTTTATTTCTGACGTGAAAGCTTTGGCATGTAGCGTTTTTCATGTTGTCTTTCCTTACCGTGGCGCCTAACTGGCCCCGACTCGCCCGTTCAAAGCTTCTTTAACCCGGACCGTGTAACAGCTAGGTGAGCTACTCACATGCTAACAGCACTGCTAAGTTTTTGCTCATTTATAAACACACCGAAATGATTAACCAGGTTCTTTTAAACTTCATGGTCAGACAAAATATTGCGTTTGTAATGTTGCTGATATAGAGGTGCTAACACGTTAGCAGATAAAAGGTAGATTAGACAGTTTAGCCACCAAGCTAACTGTAACCTGTTGCATGTCCATAATGTTTCGTTATGCCTGTAAACTATTCACATATATATTCATATTAAAGACAACTGCATTCAAATCTCAACCTTATTCTGATTGCAACACATTCGTTTTTCTTTTATTTATTTATTTGTTAGGGACAGTGCATATTAATGAACAACTGTAAAAATGACAGATTATAGCAGAAGTGCTGGTTTCCATCTGTTGTCCCTCAGCAGGTAACAGAGGAAGACAAATTACAAATTACAAATACAAATTACAAATAAATACAAATACAAATAAAATACAAATTACAAATAAAATACAAATACAAATTACAAATAAAATACAAATAAAATACAAATTACAAATAAAATACAAATAAAATACAAATAAAATACAAATTACAAATAAAATACAAATAAAATACAAATTACAAATAAAATACAAATAAAATACAAATAAAATACAAATTACAAATAAAATACAAATAAAATACAAATTACAAATAAAATACAAATAAAATACAAATTACAAATAAAATACAAATTACAAATAAAATACAAATAAAATACAAATTACAAATCAAATACAAATCAAAAACAAAGGCACAAGTGACACAAGACAATAATCGAGGTTAAAGGTTAAAGGTGGTCACAGACTTGTTTGAGGTGTGTTTTGAAGGTTGCATATGTTTGTGAGTCTCTTATTGTGAGTGGGAGAATATTCTAATATTTAGTTCCTTTGACTGACAGAACAGTTTGAATGTAGTGCGTCTGTGTGGGGCCTCACAGTCTCCTCGGGCTGGGGCCCCTGCTGCCGATCCCACTGGCAGACTTCAGCTTTATAAAGTCCTTCAAAGGAGGAGGAGCAAGTCTGTGCAACATTTTATATATAAAACATGCATTTTTAAAATTTAGTAAATTATGTTTATCTAAAACAGTGCAATGGTGAAACAAAAATTGCACGTGAAGTCTATTGATTTCTTTCTTTAATGACAAAACTGGAAGAAAAAACATCCAAATGCTAAACTTCTGCACGGTTACTGTGACATCAGCTTCAAGTTTAATCTAACAACTCGGACATCACTAATGCATTATCCTGCCACAGTGTAGACTGACTTGATGCATGTTAAAATACAGTTTAAGTGCATTTAAACCTAAAAAGATGATTTATCTGTGATTTCTGAAGATTAGATCTGCAGAGTCCATTTGCATCTTGAAGAAAAACCTAAAGACCCATCTCTTTCATGTACACCTACGACCTTAATGATGATGAGATTGATCATGACATTGATTTGATTTATTTCATACTTCAAGAAACGCATATTAATCCAACAAGTACAACCACAATAATACACAGACGCATGAAAATAACAACTCATTGATGACAACGATGACGATATTTAGGACGTTTTTGATGCTGATTAGATATCTCATGAGCAGCTGTTGATGTTGTTAACGTTAACTTAAAGAGAAAAAGAAACTGTGCTTTGCCTCTGGTCACTTCCTGTCAGCATCTGTGTGTACGATTGAACTTACCAGTAAAGCTTTTTGTTTCACTTACTGATGTTGTTTCCTCCTCTCTAGATCCTTGCTGTGTACGTAATCTCTGGTGTTATCAATTTACACAAACGCGTCTGCTAAATGGAATTGCAGAATTGTAGTTTTCTTAAGTTTTAGGTTTAAAAGAAGTCTGAAACAGCACAGAAGAACTGTAACAGTGAGTACATTTTGGTGATCTGCTTCACAGCAAAGGGGGGAGGCTTCTTCTCAGACGTCGGCAGATGAACTGGAAGCTCCAAGTCAAAGCCTTGCCAGTCCGGATCAGACGCAGCCCAGACTGGAAACGGATGGCCTGGAGCTTAGAGAGCCATGGAGGTGTGCTTTACAGCCAGGTAGGTGTAAAGTGATTATATTTACTCTCGTCTTCTTTGCTCAGCATGTTTTGTAAGTCAAATTTTTGTGATCACATTTCAAGTTTTTGATGATTCACCACATTTTGTCTCATGACAACAGGAGGTTCAAGGCAGGGATACTTTTCATTTTCATGCATTTAGTTTCTAGGATCTCTAAACCTGTTGAACGTTCATGTGAATAACCTCGAGTGTTTTCTTCTATCACCAGATTTTCAGGACAGTAACCTCTCTCCAGCTCTTCACCTGCTGCCTGCAGACTCTGGAGTGGAACACAACTTCACTGAATACTCTTTATTTCATCAAAGTGAGAATGAATTTGTTCCTCTAAGGTAATACACACTTTTGCTCTTTCTGTGTACATTATTAATATTATACTTTATATGAATGTTTAGAATGTAATCGCTTTGTGTTATGTTTATGTTTATTTTTTAAAGGGCATACCCTGACATTTCCATGGCGTCAGAGAGGTCACACTTCCCCCCGAATATCTTTAGTCAGGCTTCAGAGCGTGGCTCACTATCCCAGCACCCTTTGACCCAGGCAACCATCCTGTCTGAAGAAGGAGCCAGCAGCTGCTGCTCTCTTTCCCAGCACAGTTTGTCCCCAAGGAACAACAGCAAAGGGAAAGAAACTCTTCAAGCCCCACTGATGACTCCATCCGACAGACAGGGAGTATCGTCCAGTGATGACTCGTATTCCAAAAAGAAGGACTTTGAGATGCTTCCTAAGCTTTCTGACAAAAGAACAGGAGACGCTGATGAGGATGAGACTTTCTTTTTGAGTAAAGATGTTCCTGCCCAGCATCTCCTGGACCTCCTTCAGAAAGACTTTGGCATGCCGAGCAGCAGTAGTAGTGCTGTTTCCTCTGCCTCTGAGACCTCACTGAAGACCGCTGCATCTTTTGCAGAGCAGGTTAAAAGCACTGAAGTCTGCAAACCAGACCAAATCACAGCTAGGAGAGAGGGTCCTACTGGTGAAGTGTCTCTCCCACAGAGACAGAAACAACCACCTGAAAGAGATTTATACTCTACCCAATCACAAAGACTGTCATCCGAGGTCTGTAATATCACAATAGGGGCATCGCAGCACTCAACCTGATGAGAGCAGTGAGATGTTACACAGAGAGCTGCTGAGCGAGGTAGAGAGGCGCAACAGCTGTGAAGCTGCGTCTAAAAGCAAACAGCAGAAAAGTCCTACACCACCGAGTGAGTCTTTCACACCGTATCCCCAAGAGAGGAATGAAGGAAAGCCGAGTGTGAGCAAAGCAAATGTGGGTGGCGGGCCATGGACAGGGCCATTTTCAACAGGTGTGGAACGGGGCCTCAGAGAGCATGACCTCTGGTCCTCGGGGAACCAAACAGGGATTGATGGGTCCTACCTGGGTTTCCTTCCTCAGTCTCAGTCCACTCCAGGAGTTCTTAAGGCCCCACCCAAATCCACCGTCAAGCTTAAAATAGGGCAACTTTCTGACATAGAATCCATTAAAGAGACCTCACATCAGTCGAGCACGGGGATGTCCTCACAGCCAGCTTTACCTCGGGCTGATGTTCACAATCCAGACACAGCAAATCAGAGACAAGAGGAGGTGACCTCAGCAGAGGTCCAGTCTCTCCCAAGTGTCAACTTTATGCAGAAAGTAGACGCTTGG